CCATAATTTGTTTACCATTCACCTACTGATGTTTCCAGTTTTTTCAAACAAGAGTTCATTTATTTATTTTTAGAGAGAGGGGTAGGGAGGGAGAAATAGAGGGTGAGAAACATCAGTATAAGAGAGAAACATTGATCGGTTGCTCCTGCACAGGCTCCGACTGGGGGCTGGATCCACAACCCAGGCATATGCCTTGACCAGGAATTGAACTGGTGACCTTTCGCATGGTGGAACAACACCCAACCAACCGAGCCTTACCAGTCAGGGCTGTTTCCAGTTTGGAGCTATTACCAATAAAGCTGCTATCAAAATCTATGAACAAGTCTTCCTATGGATATAGTTTCATTTCTCCTGGGTAAAAACCTAGCTGAGGAGGGCTGAGTCATATGGCAGGTTTTAAGAAACTACCAAACTATTTTCAAAAATGGCTGTACTATTTTACATTTGCCTTAGTAGTGTATATGATTTCCAGTTGCTCCACATCCTTTCTAACATTCGGTATGATCAGTCTTTGTAATTTCAGACATTCTGATAGTTGTATAGTAGTATGTCAATGTGCTGTTAATTTGCATTTTCCTAATGGCTAATAATATTGGTCACTTTTCATGTACTTATTTTTTGTCTGTAAATCTCCTTTGGTGAAATGTCTGTTCAAATCTTTTATAATCTAAGGCTGAAGTGACACTTCATTACTTTTACCATTTGAATCATTTTGACCATATTTTATTTGTCAGAAGCAAGACAGAAAGTCCAGCCCATATTCAATAGGAGGGGATTACACTAGGGCAGGGCTGGCGGGGGTCACCTTAGATGCTGCCAATGACAGATGGCCTTCCCTTTTCTCATGGAGTAAAATTTAATCTCCATATCCTGGTCTACAAAGGTCTGCAAGATCCAGCCCTGTCTTTTTGTTTATTATTTGGACATATTGAGCTCTTTTTTCTTGTAGAGCCTTAGAGTTGCTTTTCTGTCTACTGGGATGCTTTTATGTCCGATTTTTCCCATGGCTAATTGCTCCTTGTCATTCAGGTCTCAGCTTATAAATTACCTCCTCAGAAAAACCAACCTCAACCACCTAATCAATCAAGGTAGCCTCTCAATCACTCCTTATCACATCACCTGATTAAATCTCTATGTGGCACTTATACTATGTAAGCTTGAGTGTGGCAGGAAACTTGCCTCATTCATCATTATGTATCTAAAGCCTAGGACTAGAAAGTTTGTGTCTGGGTGTTGTTACAAACTCAGATATTTATTATGACATCTTGAAGTCTTGAGCTAGGTTGTGTAAAAGATTCTATCCCAAACCACAGAAAATATCTTCACAGTCATTATGGTTAATAGTTATATTAAAAAGCTTAAGATTTATATATACAAGTAGGACATTTCATTAAAAGGAAGAGGTATATGAGGGAAAGGTGGAAAGAAAAATTATGAGAGGGAGATTTAGTCAATTTAGTGTTTCCCCTAACATTTAGTGTTAGGGGAAAGTACCAACATAGCCCCCTTACTTAATCCCCAGGCTTTATAATTTTATTAGGAAGGATAAGGAAATCACCATGCATAACAAAATTGGAGAAGCACAGTATGCTTTATGTAATGAGGTTCTGACTCTACTAAGCACTGTAGTTATGCTCAAAAGAGAGAAGTGGATTGGAATAGTCTAGGGAGGAAGTGAGACTTGAGCTAAAATTTGCAATGGACTAGGAGGAAAGGAACAGCCTTCCATAAGAGGAAAAGAACTGGGGGGAAATTCTGAGGCTTGACAGAAAGGCATCCTTGCCTTGAAGACACCTGTGGTCCAGGACCAGAAGAAGGGGTTCAATACTGTGGGAGAAACAAAGGGCTTCAGCTGTGGCCCAGGAGCAAGTGAGGGAGGTTTTGGGGTAACTTGCCAGTGGACAGCTACCTAAATCAAAGGCTTTACTCAAGTATTTCTTATTTAGCTATGGCTAGAGAATATTATTAAAGATCTTGAAAACCGGGCTTATGTTGAGAATTTTGATACATCAGTTAATCTGATCAGAATGGACTAGATTGGGAGGACACAGAAATGGCTTCAACTATGCTCCCTGGAGTAGCTTTAGATTTTATCTAGAGTTTCTGTCTGATTAGGAGGGAATTGCTATGTTTATTGTAGCACCTTACCTAGGACAGAGAAAACTTAAATTTTCCATATCAAAGAATTAGGAGGCAGCTTTGGATATTATGGGGATATTCAAGCCTCCCAGTTGATACTTGCTGTGACTCTTGCATGCTTCCCACTCTTCCTTTTAGCTTTGGGAGCTGAACTATTAAGAGATGATATGAGCTCGATGGGATGCTTATTACTCTGCCTTCCTCTTCTCCACTAGCCTTAAAAAAGTCTTTCGATAATTTTAAACATTTGGAAATAGGCATAAAGTGAAGGAGATTTTCAAATTAGTGTTGTAGAAAGAGTGGCTGAGCATTTGAGTTTGAAAGCTGGTGCTGTCACTAGTCTGGTGCGCTGTAATTATTTACTATGTTTTTTGTGCTCTGTTTTACTATAGGCAAAATCTGAAATCGTTAAAGAGTTTCTCAAGCCAGACACCTAATGTCTTTTAATGCCCGAGGCAATGCCGCAAAATGAGTAACAGTCTGGCTCCAAATGCCACAGAGTCCCATTAAGAAAATCCGGTCCCTAAGGATCCTTCCAACTTCAAGCATTTCAAGACTCCACTTGGTTAAGGGGGCACTACACTGCAGACCATGGCCTCCCAACCTCACCAATAGCTAACTAATCACTCAGGTTTTGACTTAATATTTCACTTCTCTGATACCTTCCCTGGTGCCCACACCAATCTTTTTGTTATTATTGTTTTATTATTACTTGTTTGTCTGCCTGTCCCCTCCATCACGTGTTAAATCCACAATGGCAGGGTCGGTGGCTATTGCTGGGGTCACAGTAGCACACAGTAAAAACTTTTTAAATCGACAAATGAAGTGCTAATGAAGTGACAATCCGGGCGAGCGCGCGCGGACCCGGGACGAGACACCAACCTCCGTAACTTCCGCTCCTGCACGCTCCTCTAGGCGCCCCTTCTCCTTGCCTGTGTTTTGTTTCCGGCGTTTCAATAAAGTTCGAGTCGGCTCTCGAAAAACCAGTCCTTCCGGGAAAATGGCGACTCCCTCTCGAGCCCCGGAGTCCCCGCCGGCCGCGGATCCGGCGCTAGCCGCGGGGGCTGCCGAAGAAGACGAGTGCTCACCACCCCCCCAGCCTCAGCCCCCGCAGAATGTCCTTGCCGCCCCGCGGCTTCGAGCCCCAAGCTCCCGAGGACTTGGGGCAGCGGAGTTTGGCGGAGCTGCAGGAGATGTTGAAGCGCCAGGAGAGACTTTTGCGCAACGTGTAAGCTTGGGTGCCGCCGAGCCACCGCCAGGTTCCTTCGGCTCGGGCTCCCTGGGACGCGTCCCCCCCTTCCCCAGCCCCATTCCCTTCCCTGGAAGGTGACCTTGCCCCCGTCAGCGACATTCCAGCCCCGCGGGCGAACGGACGGCCTACAGCCGCAGAGCCGGCCGCGTCCTGGCCCGGCGCTGCCGCCCGTGGCGCTGGCTCAGGTGCGGAGCCGCGGCTTCGCGAGTCAGCTCCTCATGAGCTCCTCGTAGGCTCCCTAACTCCTGTCCCAAACAGCTTGTCAGTTTCATCTCTAGATCCTGTTTTTACAGGAACCGTTGGAATGGGAAAGAGTGGGACATAGAGTGGTTTCTTAGGCAGAGAAAGTGTGACTCTCACTCAGTTGGCAGACTTCATGGATTATAGCAGGGGCGCGATGATTTTAACAGGAAACCCAAATGAGCTTGGCGCAGGGTGCTTCGAAGGAGTAAGAGGCAGAACCCAGTAGGAGGGTATTTTCAGAGAGTTTTCCAGAAAAGAGGTTGTAAGAAAGTGAACTAGAAAAGTAATTGTGGGGTTGGGGAAACTACATCAGGCTTGGAATACTTGGAGTAGGTAGCTGACAGAGATGGCTGAGTTTTGCGGGAGGGGAGTAGACCCGCGGTTGTTTTTAGTTAGGTTTAGTGCCGAGTTGCGGGGAGAGGTCATCCTGCCTAGTTCAAAGCTGGAGAAGTGGACATGAGGCTCAAGCTTTGAGATGAGATGAGAAGCGAAGAGAAGGCTAGGAAACTAGAGGGATCCCACCTGGAGGGGCCGTTAATAGTGGAAATCGTGAGAATGAATGTAGTGTCAGAGAAAGAATGTAGGGCCTGAGTGTAACCTTCCCTCCCCATTTATTGTATGGCTAACACAAGGGGAATCAGAAAAGGAACTTGATCGCTCAGCAAACGGGACAAATGATCACTTGGGGGCTTCTTAGTCGACACAAGTATTTTGACTTCTTGAGAATGGGTTTTTGATGTATAGCAGCAAATTAACATTTTGGTCTCAGGACCCCTTTCTAGTTTTAAGACTTACCGAGTATCCCAAAGAGTTCTTGTTGTATCTATCGCTACTTGTCCGTGTATTAGGAATTACAAGTGAGAAATCTTTAAAATACAAGAATACACAAGCTCACATATTATATTAGCCAGCACAGCAATGATAGTCACACATCTTGTCGCTTCTGGAAAACTCCACTGCACCCATGTGAGAAAGTTAGAGTGAAAATGGCAAATTGTGTCTTACTATTATTATGAAAATACTTTGGCCTTGTAGACCCATCCACCTCCCCTCCTCAGGAAGGTCCTGGAGATCATATTTTTAAAAACTGTTGATTTTTAGAATGTCTTATGTCAGTATATGCTTAAAACACTTTTGCTGAAACCCCAATTAAATGAGCCAAATGAGGCATATTCCCTATTCTCCCTTGATCCCTTTGTTTTGGAGGGTATTTGGATAATTACGTTTCTGCTTCCGGGCAGTTGAAAGTCAGATTTTTTTAAAACTTAAAGATTGATTTTTCTCCCTTTGAAGGTAATGCTTTTTCTTTATATCTCAAGTTTAAAAACATCGTTCTAATGTACACATGTTCTTTTCCATTTGACAGAAAATTCATTTGCAGATTGCCCGACAACGGTAAAAAGATCTTAGACTCTGTTGCCAAACTGAAAGCTGCCATTGCAGAACGTGAAGAAGTTAGAGGAAAACGCGACCTGTTTAATCCTGTTAGTTTAGACTGTAAGCCAAGGCAAAAAGCAATTGCAGTTGATGTGGACATAGATAAGGCCCAGAATTCTGACCAGATACTTGATTCTTCATCACTGGTTCCTGGCTGTTCTTCTGTAGACAACATCACGTCATCTGAAACAACCTCACAACAGGAACTGGTACATTCTATTCACAAAGGTGATGAAGAGGCTCCTGAGGTTGGATACACAGTGAACGAGTGCCCAGGTTCCAGCAGCAGAGCCAGTGCGCCTTCCTCACCCAAAGCTAGTGAGCGTCTCCCTCAGCGTCGTGTGTCAGGTCAAGCAGAAGACAACTCCAGCAGCTCTGACGACCTATTTATTGATAAGTTACAAAGGATCACCATTGCAGACCCAAGTGAACGCCACTCAGAAGAAAACACAAGGACTGAGAGCCTGCCAGGCCTTTGTACTGGGACACAGAAGAAGCCTCATTACATGGAAGTGCTAGACATGCGAGCCAAAAACCCAGTGCCCCCAGCACGTAAATTTAAACTCAATGTGTAAGTACCATTGGAAACAGACCTGTCATAGGAACATAATATTTGTTAAACTCAAAAAATTGGGAGAATGCTTTAAAGTTCAGTGGACTTTGGTTGAAAATTACTTGTAGTTTAGGGACGAGCATATTGGCGAAACAGTGAGACCAGCCTGGCTGGAGTGAAGGATTCATGTTGAAAAATACTTCAATATTTTAGCTAAGTCCTTCAGAAAGGTTTTAAATAGCAGATGGAGTATTAAATTTCAGGATACTTAGCCAGTGTTTCATAATAAACAGAGTTAGAGAATCTATTATGATTTTTTTTCAGAACCATTTTCTTGTATACGGCTCCGCTCTTTGATTAGACTGCCAGCTAAGGAAAAAGCAATAGCAGAAGCTGATAGACTGTCTCAGCAAAAAGTACTTGTGTGCCCCCCGGGTAAGCAGCAGGTGCTGTGGTGACACAGAAGTAAAGATTCTCATCAAAGAGTTTAGGACCTAGATGAGGACCCGGGACTTACACACTTGGGAGAATATTAAACCATATAACAACTTCAGAGGGAGGGAAGCTGAGAAGGGGTTAAAAATAACCGAAAACAGATCGAGGCAGGAGGGGACAAACAACTCTGCTTCTAAGTTCCTTTTTATAGTTTCTGAGACCTTCAGAAAAAGAAAAGCCCTTTGAGGAGAAAAGAATGTTAGTATGCAGATGTAACATTCAAGTCAGGCAGTAGCAACTGGTACCAGCCTAGATTTACAAGGATGTAACATTATCAGATACAAAGTGGACTACTGACTTTCTTTGAAAAACTGAAGAACTCTAGTTAAAAATACCTAAAACCATTTTTGTTATTATAAAGAAACTTTAAAGTTTAATCCTACCCCAATTTAACCCCAAACATTTTATTTCTTTGGTCTAATAAACCAGGATTACATCGCATTAATTTGTATTTAGGAGTAAAATTAATCTTTGATTAAATTTCATCTTGTGTGCAGAGAAGTATCTGTCCTCACTACTAGGAAAACAGAAAAGCATAAGCATTATTTAGTCAGTAAATATAATAGAGAATACCCTGATCCCAGTTTTATATTGTCATTGAGCTGGAAAGGGACGGGGAGGGGAGGGAATAGCAGTGAGGGCCACCAACAGCTAAGGGCGTTGAAAAGACAGAGCCCCTGTGCAGTCAGAGCAGGTCGGGGAAGGCCGGGCCCTGACAGTCGGTGACCACAGGCCAATGGGGACGGAGGGGAGCCTGAACGGCGGCTTGGAGGTTGGAAAGGGGAATCAAGTAGTGTCCTTTGGTTCCTGTACTGCTCTTCCCTCGGCCTCCTACCTGTTCTGGCTCCGTTACCACTTGGATGCTGAAGGCTGCCCCTCATCTGCCTCTAGCTGAGGTCTTTCTAGAACTTGAGATTTACGTTGCTAGTTACCTGTGAAACGTGACTGTGTGGGTGTCCATGGCACCTTAGGTTTATTGTGTGCAAAGTGAAACTCTTTTTTTTCCCCAAACTGCCTTTCTCCCATATCCCTTAAGTTATTAGTGTCACTTCTTTGTTTTTTCCCCAAGGTGTCTTCCTTTTTCCTTATCACTGTACCTTCTTGCCACAGAGACCTATGTAATATATCTCCTTGACCTTCATCACTGATCACGCTTCATTCTCTTAAGGGAGGGCTGTCATCCGTCTCTTGGGCTATAACTATGGTCTCCTTAGCCTCAAGTCTTAATTCTTTACCAGTCCACCTCCTCCACTGCTGCTAGAGCGAAATTTGTAAAATGCAACTTGGAACCTGCTACATAGAATAGAACTCTTGACTGTGGCCTGACCCAGCCTACTTCCTAGGCCTATCTGGCTGGCTTTTTCTGTACCCCCTCTCTTACACCTCCTGTGTGCCACAGTCATGGGCCTCCCATGGCTGGGGTGCACTTTCCCCTCATTTACCTGAGGGGCACGTATTCCAAGACTCCTGAGATTTCAGCGTTTAGATGTTTTTCTGATAGCCTCACTGTCTCCCATTAGAACTGGCCAATTCCTTCTGTATGTTCCCGTGTACAATGCATAGATGTGAGTCATGGTACCAGCAGAATTGTACAGGGTGGAGTAAAAGTAGGTTTACAGTTGTTTGGAAAATAACAATACGAGAATAAACTCTGTTTAGCATACATGTAACTGTAAACCTACTTTTACCCCACCCTAGGTTGCACTGAAACGGTTGACAATTTTATTTCCCTCTACCGGAGAGTAAGCAAATATTTTTTGAATGAAAAGATAAAATGAAAAGTTATAGCTTCAATTCAAGTATAAAGTTTGAAGAGAGACGGAAAGGGCAAAGAGCTAAGGTTGAAAGCCACTTTTGTTATGTGTGAATGTTCTAAATGTATGTATATAGAAAGATGGCGTACATTTTCCCTCCTTCAGGTTACCTTCAAAACAGAACAATTCATCCAGTCACCAGCAAAGAAGCGGGTCTCCCATTTCCTCAGAGGAGAGGCGGCGCAGGGATAAGCAGCATCTTGATGACATCACAGCAGCTCGGCTTCTACCACTTCACCATATGCCTACACAGCTGCTCTCCATAGAAGAATCTTTGGCACTTCAGCAACAGCAGAAAAAGAGTTATGAGGTATTTAAGAGTATTAATTGTTCCCTGTCTGTATGTCGGATGCTGCTTGCATAAGTCAGAATTTACTTCAGGTAGTTCCAGGAGGACAGGATTTAACAGAGCAATTAGGTGCTAGAGAAATGATCCGTTAATGCCATTAGCTCTCAGATGTGTGCCTCGAGTTTTAAAAGTCTTGAAGTTGCTAGAGCTGGAGGAAGCAGTTCTGGTAAAGAATTAAGGCTTGAGGCTAAACAGACCAAAGTTACAGCCCAAAAGAGGGAAGACAGCCCTCCCTTAAGAAGATGAAGATAAGCGTGACCAGTGATGAAGGTCGAGGAGATGATCACAGCTCCCTGCCACATCAGACTGACATTTGCCAGGAAATGTGAGGAGACTACTGCAAAATTTCACATCTCTGAAAGCCCATGCCATTAGGATAGTAGTAGTATCACTTCTCATGTCTTTTACCTTATAAAACCCATGTGAGAGCTTCTGAGTGGTGGAATCTAACTGAGAACCCTGCAAAGACAGTCAGGAAAATCTGGTTTCCAGCTTCCGTCTCCTCTGATACATGGGAGACCATAAACGGCGTGGGGGAACAGTGCTGTGTTGCCAGCAATTGGATACTAAACTTAAAAGCCTAATCTGCAAACCCTTGTGAAGATGGGAGAATCTTGTATGTTTAGTGACTTAATCAAGTTTGTATAGGACTGTCTTCAAAGATCTGTATGTTCTACATAGAACTTTAAACATATAAATTTACCATTTGTGTACCAAATAAAGAGAAACGTGTTAGAACCATAATGAGAAAAGAAAGGGTTCGTTACAGTTAGTAATAACTTGAACCTCTGGGGAAACAGCAGCCTAACTTCCTAGTATTGCTTAGTTATATATTAATCAGGTATAATACACCAGTTACTATAAAACCAGGCTGTTCTGCCTTGGCTTTTCCGACATGCTCAGTTGGCATGGATTAACATTTTCAAAGCACTTTTTAAAGCCATTTTTCTTCCTCTTGGTGCGTTAAAATTATTGCCTACTTACAGCTGTACCATTGATGAATTGTTTTTTAAATGGTCTATATGGTCTTAACTGCCTATTCTAAGACATTTTTAGGTTGAATAATGAACATCCTTCAGTTTGAAGTTGACTTCCTTGGCAGAGTAGTAGCAGCAGCTCCCCCTTTAGTTTTACCTTTCTGTAACACTCACGGCCTGCGGGGATGGACATAAAGAAGTTCAGGTGGTCTGGGAGAAAGCACGAGAAACGTAAAGAGCTGAACTAGAAATGAGCATTGCCACCTGCCGTCAGTTGATAGTAATGTCCTTGGGTGTATATGAACACATTGCCAGTGTCTGGTATTTACTTGGACTTTTTGCTGCATAGTAGTTTCCAAGGGACTTTATTTGGAGAAGGATAGTTAGCTTTTTAGTATTAATTTTTTGATTTACATTGTGGCATTGAAATGTAACTCCTAAGTCTAGAAGTCATGATCTAATCTAGGAAAGATGATTGCCAGTTGGAGAATCAGCACAGCATGAGTAATGTTTGACATTTGATAGCCCAGATTGTTGTGTGAGTTTATACGTGTGTGTGCCCACATACCTAAAAATATATCCATGTTTATAACTGTTGTGGAGCTAAGCTGACTACTCAGTTTGTCATGTATAAGTGGGACATTTCCATACCCTGTTTATTAATGGATGCCTGTAACTACAACTGCAGCAGGCTCGCAGCTCATGGCATCGCCCTGTTGTGTCTGCAGAGGACACGGTTGCCAGGCTCATTGTATTGCTGTAGAACACTAGGTGGAGTGGCATTCTTCTGTATCCTCATTCTGTTTCAGTGACTTCCTATTGAAAAATTGTAGGGAAAAGATGTGTGTAACTTTTTGTTTTATGTTTTGTTTTAAAGGAGATGCAAGCCAAGCTCGCAGCACAAAAATTAGCTGAAAGACTGAATATTAAAATGCAGAGCTATAATCCAGAAGGGGAGACTTCGAGGAAATACCGAGAAGTAAGGGATGAAGATGACAATCAGTCCTCTGATGATGAATTCTGAAGATGGACATTGGGATACAGTCCTAACACTCTGCCTGCTGAGATGTCATTATCTTACATCAGACTTTCTAACAAGTATCAAGATCAGTGTCAGACATTGTTGAGGGAAATAATTTTATAAAGTTACACAAAGATAGCTATAAAAATAGCCCAGTTTGTCGTCTTTCAGAAGATAACTTTCATGTGGTTGAAAAGTTTAATATTTGAATATGGTGTTTAATCACATTGTATTAAAGTTTTGCAGTATGTTGTATTGTTTGATATTTTAGTGTATAGGAGAGCACATTTTTTTCTGTAAGCCAGATGAAAGCAGGTAACTTTTTTCCCCTCCTTCTTACCTCTATCAAATATCTTGCCTTTCAGTGAAATATTTAGTTGTCCCAGTCATCGCCTAAAATGAATTAGGAAGATACAGTTCTCTAATTTTTTGAGTAATGAAGGGAGCAGTGTAAAGAATTTTATGCATGTCTGCATGGAGTTATTGAGGAATTGGATGTGAAATACCTAGGAAGACACCAGAAAAATGCTTAAATGTTTGTTTCCTTCTTCTGTCTTCCCTTGGAAGATTGTTATCTTCTGATTACAAATAAGGAGTACAGTTGACCCTTGAACAATGTGGGGGTGAAGGGTGCCGGCCTGCTCAGTAGAAAAGTGTGTGTAACTACATACTTATAGTTGATGCTGGAGGATGGTTGGTCTTTCTAAGTGACCAGATTTGCCCAGAGTAACATGAAATGTTGGAAAGTAAGATGGCTGATGAAGGTGAAGGGAGTAGCTGTTCTTACGCTTGACCTGACTTGAGGTCATTGCTATTAACAGATGATCGGTTCAGTTTGGTAAAAAAAAAACAAAACTTTTTTTTTTAAGCCAGAATTGAATTATTGTCAATAAATTGTCCCCCTCCCAAAACAAAGCATACATACGTAGGCTACAGAAACCTCAATCTATATATACATGTTTATGTAACCTGAACGGATTATATGATTGTCTCCAGAGAAATTAATAACATTATCAAAGATTTCTTTAATATGTTGGGGCCTTTAAACAGTGTTGAAAGCAAGAATAAAATACTAATTAGAGGAACTTCAAAATGTTAATGGTGATGTTTTACTGGTACTTAATAACTTACTTTACAAGAGACTTTTCCTATATTTAATTTGATGGAAATACGTTTAGGTCAGATGTACATGGGAGAGGAAGGGCTCCATTCTGTGTCGTGCACTTCCAGGTGTAGCTCCTGCTTCCCATCCCCCTTGCCTCCAGAAAAGCAAATGTAAAACTACAGTGAGCTAATGATTTCAATATCTTTAGTTATTAAAACTTAGAAAATGATTTCACAACATAATTATTTGATGTTCTTTTGTTACAGAATGAAATAATTACATGTTATTTCTGGGAAGTTGGGTAATATGAAGGGGCTCACATCATAAACATACAATTCCTATGATTCTACCCAAAGAGCGTCTGTGAACATTTGGGTATATGTTGTTTTACATATTTTTTTCTATGCATACATACATTTATATTTTCAGTAGTGCAATCATACTATATGTTTATGTTTATATTTTCATTTGCCTTTATATTTTCAGTAGTGCAATCATCCTATACATTAACTCACAGTTTGCTCTATATATTGTAAACATTTTCCCATATTAAATATTTTGCATTTTAGATAGCTGCAGAATAACCCCATTTATTGGTGTACTGTAACTTTTAAAATCAACTTATTTTCTATTAGTTTGATTGTAATGCAACTCTAAATAATGATGCAATCAACATCTTACAATACAATCACATCTGTGCAAAAATAACTTCCAGAAGATCCTTTTCCAGAAGTGAAATTGTTAGATGAAAGGTAAGTTTTTGAGAATCTTGATACATATCACTGATCACAAAGACTGTGTCCTTTTACATTCCAACTAGCAATATATCGAACTCCCAGAATTGAAAATTGTTGTTTAAAACATTTGCAAAATTAATAGATGCAGAAAAGGGTTACCTTTAAAATTTGGGTTTCTTCAATTAATGAAGGTTGAATGTTTTTTTCATGTTTATTGACCACTTATGTACATTCTTTGGGGCATTGGGTATTCATATTTTTCCTATATTCTCTTGGAGAGTTTGTGATTTGTGTTGGTTTGTAAGTTACGAATTAAGATGCCTCTCCTTTGTTATGTTATTTTACTGTGTTATTTGTCATTTTAGTTCATTGTGTTTTGATGTGTAAATTTTCTCTAGGATTCTGCCTTTGCACGAATGCTTGAGCATGTCTTTCCCACCCCAAAGATGGATCCATATTTATTCTTATTTTCTTCAAGTGCTTTTTAAAAATTTCACTTTTATATTTATCTGTAGAAGAAAATTTTTGATCCCTCAAATTTATTTGGGGATATTGTATGAGGTGAGATTTAATTTTAATTTTTGCCAATAGTTGATCAATTAACTTGGTATTATAAACCACCATTTTCCCACTGGTTTGTAATACTGTCAGAATGTTGCTAGGTGTCTTTTGTGTCTTGGACCTGTCTTGGGGCCTTCTAATTTTCCCCACACTTTTTAATAATTATGGCTTTAATTAACATTAATATTTGGTAGTACAATTCCTCCTTCATTCTTTTAAATTTTATGAAATACAACCTACAGAAAAGTACATAAACCAGGCATGCAATTTAATGGATAAAGCAAACTTACGTAATCACAAACCAAATGAAGGGAGGCTGCTGCCAGTATCCAGAATCTCCCTGTGTGTCCCCTCTTGCCCTCCAGTTGTCCCCCCAGCAGGAACTACTATCCTGCCTTTATGGTAGTACTTTATTTCTCTGAAAAAAATTGTTTTACCAGTTATGTATGCAACAATATGGTTAGCTTTGCTCACTTTTGACGTAAAATGGAATCCTAGTGCATGTTGTTTCCGGTGTCTTTCACTCAGCATTGCTTCTCATATTCAAGTTACGTGTAGGTGTGGTTTATTCATCTTCATTGCTGTTTAATGTGCCATTTCATAAGTAGTATTTTATTCTGTGATAATCACTTCTATGATATTTTCAGTTTTGGGCTATTACAAGCAATGCTGCAATGACCATATTTGTGCACATAAATTTCTGTAGAATGTTTACCTAGGAGTTGAAATGTAAGGTGGGCACATTTTAACATTTAACATTCCCACCCCACCACATCCGCCATGTATGATCGTTCCAGTTCATCAACACTTGGTATTGCCAGATTTTAATTTTAGCCAATAGGAAATAGTAGTCATTCATTTTGGTTTTATTTTGCATTTCCCTAATTAATAATAACATTGAACATCTTTATGTGTTTATTGGCCACTGGATTTCCTGAAAGTGCCCATTCAAGTCCTGCCTCCATCTTTCTGTTGTATGTCAACTGTCTTTTTCTCGTTAACTTTTAGGATGTATTCTTGATACTAATCGTTATTTGGTTATGTTGTAAATATCCTTATCTTCTCTGGGTTACTTTTCATTCTTTTTATGGTGTTTTTGATGACCAGAAATTCTAAATTTTAATGGCAAGTTACCAATTTTTTTATATTTGGTGTCTTTTGTGTCCTGTTTTAAGGAATCTTGGTCTATCCTGAAATAATGAAAATACTCTCTTTTTAAAATCTTTTTAGTTAAAAAGCATTTTATAATTTTGCCTTTCCCAATACATTTTTTATTCTACTTGGAAATATTTGTGGCCGTGTGAGGAAGGATCCTTCTGCACAGCAGCTTGTCCTGGCACTAAGCAGTGTGCTTCTGCCACGAATCAGCATTCATATGTTCCTTTCTGGGTCCTCTCTTTGATCCCTTTTGCATTTTCATAGAAATTTTAAAATCAGTCTGCTGTGTTCCACCAAAAAATTATGCTTGATAGTGCAAATCTTCATTGATTTTCAAAAAAAATGTGGGGCATTCTGTCATTAAACAACTAAATTTTTTCCCCCTAAGATTCTATATTTTGAAACTTAGGAGATTTGGAACATTGACACTTATAATCTAAAGGACACTTACTCTTTCAACTAAGATGACTATTTTTAGTGTATAGAAGTTAAATAGAAAATTCAGAACACTTTTAGTGTAGGTACTGTGTAGTTTTGACTGAGAAGTGTTAGCAAATAAAGAACTTTTTAAATGTCAAATACAGGTTTAAAACAGGAAAATGGAATGCATCTGTACTCATGAACTCTTCCCTTCAATGTTCAAGTAATTAAGGAAGTTAAGTGCTAGAGTTTGGGACTTAACCTGAACCATGGAATATTTTATGAGGATTAATCTCATTACATAGTAGTCATCAATAGGATAATACTTTTTCATTTTCATAGGAACTATATCTAATCCACATCGTATTCTCTGGACATCCAAGGGCTGTGAGTCAAGGTGGAAGGTAAAGAGTGTGTGGAATTATCTCTGCTTCCTGCAACTGGGATGTTGAGGTGATTTGCTCAAGGCCACAAAGAACCCAGCACTCAAGGTTTCTGGGCACTGGATTGCATGGCTTTGTTCATGAATACCACAAATCAAGGTTGCATTCGAGCTTTGAAAAGTGCTAATGCTAGGCAAGAGCTCAGATTACGCACAGGGTATTTGTCATGTCTCTGATTTACACTATAAAAGAGCTATTTTTCTTCTGATAATTTTTGTACTTGGAATGTTTTGTTTTTAATCATCTTAAAACTGTTAGACCATTTGGCCACTGCTGATACCTTCACTCTTCCTTCCTCATTTGATAGTTGGCTGCATAAAATTTTTGGAGAAGAGATGCAAGGAAAAGTGACATCATGTATCATAGGCTTTATTCAGAGGACCAGGTACAATCCAGCAGTTTATCCTTTGCAGGCGTCATGAGACTGGAACGCTATAAGTGAAGTTGTTAGGAAAGAAAAGATCCTGTCTCTGTACAGAAAAAGCCGAGAGTGCCTGTGCTTAAATAAATATGAGGATTATATAACCAGCTTTTATGGAGAGCATACAGAATCATCTAAAAAACATGGCAAATTGCATTATTGACTAGTTCCTTGACAGGGAGGAGAAACTTAAAGCTATTATTTTAATTTCTGGCTAAAGTGAGGAAGCTTTGATACTGGGCCGATGAAATAAACCTAGTGTTGGATAATACTGAACTAGAGCCAGACCACAAATCAGAAGTGATTCTGAAAGCACAGCATAAAAGCCTGAACAATTAAATATGATCTATTACTTCCCAGATGATTTTAGAAAACTTGGAATAAAAAAAAGGCGAAAAAGAGGGTAAGCCACTGGAATAGCATTAGATTATTAGATTTAGGATTTAAATGCCACTATTTCCTTTGAGTCCAGTGGGAAGTTATGTACTCTCATGACTGTTAAGCCTGTAAGATGAGGTCAATGACCTCTTATCTAATGTATGGGGTATGTTTTGAGAGAACAAAATTTCAAAGTGTGGTCTTTATAGAACACTTTGAGGTCTAAAAGAGATTCTAGATGAAAACCTTATTGTAACAATGTTAACAATTATGACTGGAAGTAGTTTAGGAGGCACCTTTTGGCATACGAAATAAAATGTTCTAAAATCACCACCATATGAAACTTTTAATTTAGTGTTAAAATTAGCTGAGAACAATAGAGACTCCCTAAAAAGCTATTTTGACAAGGGGAAATTAGGACATTAAGCTAAAGACAGGCCAAGCTTCGTATGGAAAAATTTCACATTATTAAGGCAAAAGAATGAGAGTTGTAAATCAAGTCCTTACTTGGAGCATACAGAAATGCTCCTTAAAAGATGGAGACTCAGCTTGGTGCTTATAAATTTTGTCTGAAAGTATTGCTAGTAAATACATCAGTTCTCTTAATCAGTACCACGTATATTTGTATTAAATTAAATAGCTCCTCTAGTGATTGTGTTATAAAAATAAAAGCATATCTTTTGTTGATTATTTAGATTTTTAATAAAAAATATTTCTCCCCTTTGGCTACATTTAGTAGGGTCAAAACGAAGCACGTTAGGAAACAGTAACTGGCAACAAGAGGCAAATCTTAACTCAAATTAGCATCTTTAGTTCTTAGGGAAGGAAGAAAGGAAGCTTAGATGTCATTTGCTTTGCATTCTATAAATGGGGAAACTGAGACACAGAGACTCATGGAGACTTGCCTATAGTTGTGCAGCTGGTTCTGACAGAGCCAGCTCTTCCTGTCTGGGCCTATGCTCTTTGCTTAATGTAGAGTCTATTTAAAATGAATTCTATCAGATATTTTTGCACAATTTCAGAAAAAGCACAGGGCCAGAAATCTATTGAAACTAAGTTCAGTTACTACTGAAATAAAATTGAATACAATGTAGAAAGAAATAAAGTAATATAAAAATGGATGA